TTTGCAGATGTTTGATCAAAGTACCAAAGCAAGAAAACAAGGACACAAGTGGGGTTGAAATATAAGGGACATATGAGGAAGTTGCATGAATAGCTGAAGATATATGGGTTATAAAGGAGGAGAACAATTTTAAAAGAGTTGTTAGCCATTTTAAATACTACAGAGAAGTCTGGGAAGATAACTGAGGAGGACAAGTGAGGGCTTTGAAATATTTCAAGGTGTTTGTGATCTTTGGAAAAGCAGTTTCACAAGGGGGTTGGAGAAACCAGATGGATGTATTTGCCCTTTAAAAAATTTTTTGCACCTAAGGTTGGTTGGTTGGTTGTTTTTTTATGTTAATAAGCATGTAGCAGGAAAGGTGTTTAAGTTATTTATTTATTTATTTATTTATTTATTTATGAGGAGGCGTAGTGGGGCAGAGGGAGAGAGAATCTTAAGCAGACTCTATGCTGAGCACAGAGCCTGACACGGGGCTTGATCTTAGGACCTGAGCCGAAACCAAGAGTCAGACAAACTGACTGCACCACCCAGGCACCCCTAAGTCCTTATTTTTAGAGCAGTTTTACATTCACTGCAAAATTGGGAGAAAGATACAGAGATTCCCCATATACCTACCAACTCCCACACATGTTGCCCTCCCCCATTATCCACAGCTCCCATCAGAGTGGTACATTTGTTATAATAGACGAACCTACAGTGATACCTCATTATCACCCAAAGACCTTAGTTTGTGTTAGAGTTCATTCTTGATGTTGTACATTCTAAGGGTTTGGGCAAATGTATAATGGGATGTATCCATCATTATGAACTAATACAAAATCTTTTCACTGGCCTAAAAATCCTCTGTGTTCCATCTTTTTATTCTTCCCTCTCCCCAACTCCTGGCAACCATTGACCCTCTTGTGGTCGTCTTACTTTTGTCTTTTCCAGAATGTCATATAGTTGGAATCATAGAGTATATAGTATAATATATATATACACACACACACACACACACACACACACACAGTATAAAGACTTTGGCTATATTGGCTTCTTTTGCTTGGTATGCATTTAAGATTCCTCCATGTCTTTTCATGGCTTGACGGTTGATTTCTTTTTAGCGCTGAATAATATTCCATTGTCTGGATGTTGTTCCAGTTTATCCATCCTCCTCCTGAAGGACATCTTGGTTGCTTGCAAGTGTTGGCAATTTTTGAATAAAGCTGCTATAAACATCTGTGTGCAGGTTTTTGTGTGGAAAGGTGTTTTTAAGGAAAAAATTTAAGAAAATGACTAGAGCATATCTACAGATAGAGATATCAGCAGAAATTAATTACAAAAAAAGAATTAAGTGTAGAAAATGTAGTCTTAGGAAGAACAGGAAATATAATTATGTATTGTATGATCTTTAGAGGAAAGCCTTCCTAAACCTAATTAAAAAAAAAAAGAAACATATGATAATGGAAATAAAGGAATAATTAATGAAATAATAGGATTCTGGAAAAGGGGAAAGATCTTCATGGAAAAGAGGGGAGGCACTTAAGAAATATAGAATAGGAAGTAAGCTAAGAGAAGTTAATTTTTAAAGGGTTTCTCTTGTAAGCTTAGATCCTCTGCAAAAGGATATAGTGGAATTGAGGTTTTGATGAGGTTTAGAAAATGCATTTTTTTAATTGATAGGCATTCATTAAGTAATTCATTAATTTTTTTAAGGCAAATTCCTGAGCAGTGGGACCTAATTTAAAAGTAAAAAATTCTTTTTTTTTAAAGATTTTATTTATTTATTTGTCAGAACAAAGAAGGGGGAGCCACAGGCAGAAGAAGAGGCAGGCTCCCTGCTGAGCAGGGACCCCAATGAGGGGCCCGATCCCAGGATGCTGGGATCATGACCTGAGCCGAAGGCAGATGCTTAACGACTGAGCCACCCAGGTGTCCCTAAAAGTAAAACATTCTGGATTTCTCTCCCTATTTCTCCCTATATAAAAAAAAGTGACATCTGCTGTATCTCTAACATAAAACTGAATCTGAACACTTTAATTCAGCCTATGTAGCTCTGTCCTAGGCATTAGTCAAATAGGACCTCAATCTGTCTTGGATCAGTACAAACAAGGTCCCTGCTGACACTGAGTTTACATTCTGAGAAACAGGGGAGGGAGGATTGGGAGACAGTAAAGAAGTAGACAAACATGGTAGTGGTGAAGCAGAGTAATAGCTGATGGATTAGCATTGGGGAGGAGGAGATAAGAACGCCTACTTAAAATGAGGTTGTGAAGGAAAAGCATAGAGAAGATACTTGAAACACACAACAAAGGTTTTCTATACAGACTATATGAAGAGCTAAAAATAAGGTAATAGCAGACAACCCAATAGAAAAATGGGTAGGACCTCTTTAACAGGTGATTGACAAAGAAGATATTCATGTGGCCAATAGACATATTAAAAAGGTGTTTCATATCATGAATCCTCAGTAAAATACAAATTAAAATCACAATGAGATCCCATTATACATTCACCAGAATGGCTGAAAATGGAACACACTGATAATACCAAATATTGACAAGGATGTGGAATAAGTAGGATTCCCAAAGCTCTGTTGTGCATATAAATTGGTATATTTTGGAAAACTGGTATCCACTAAAGTTGAACACACATATAACCTATGACCCAACAATTTCACTTCTGGGTTTATATTCAACATGATGCGTGCACATATACACTACAAGCATGTTCATGGCAGCGTTTTTTGTTTTTTGTTTTGTTTTGTTTTG